GAGTATGTGGAGGGTGAGAGGCCACATTCCAGAAAGACTGAAAAAGGAGCTAGTTGCAAACAGTTATGAAAATGGAACAATCTGGCTTCTTCCATTTTCTGATCCTTCCCCTTCCCTTTCCTTTTGCTTACTGTCATCCTCCCTCCTTCTGGACAACAAAGTCAGCTGTCATCTCACAGACATGACATGTAAGCCAGGATTGAGTGTCTTGCCTTCAGCAGAGTTATAGGAAGGGATAAAAACAAAGGATACACAATGTCAATCGTTATTTCTTAGGATGCTCTGAGCACATGCAGAGGCAGAAACAATGAGATATTTCTGCAAAAGATGCCATCTGGTCCTGCTGGTCAGCAGGTCTGAGACCCTGGGGGAACATAAGCAGTGAAAGTCAGCAAAAGAACACCTAATGTCATTTTGTTTTCATTTCTAAAAGGATCCAAGGAAGAGGCTTGCCCTTTGGTGTTGAAGAGGTCCAGGCAAGGTTCTGCCTCCTGCCTTGACCCTTGGTTTAGTTTGGCAGGTCAGATTGTCCCTGTGGGCAAGTGAGGCAGGTGCTGGGTACTAGCTGTCCTTGACTGCCTGTCTGTAAGGAACTCCTGGGGACCCTATGGCAGAAAAGGACAGTAGCTAAATCTGATTAATCCCAAGTGGATCTGGTCAGCATCCTGGAGTATTCATAAAATTAGAAATGTCATGATATGCGTTTCTGGGTGCTTTATAGTTTATGAAAAGAAGGGCTTAGCTTGGGGCACCCCTGCATTGGAGCTTCTTCCAGCCATCAACAGAGCCAAGCTAAGACTCAGGAGTAGGTGAAGGAGGGGCTGAGCACAGTCTGTAACAGGTGAGGTCTCTGGAGGTGGGGTGGAGATTAGATGGGAGATATTAGCTCAAAGCATGAGCAGCTGCTCATGAAGATTAGGCAGGGGGAGCATGAGGGCTAAAGATACAATCACAGGTGATGGTCAGATGTTTAAAAAGAAGTCAGGTGGGGTGGTGCGCACCTGTAGTCCCAGCCACCGGGAAGCTAAGGCAGAAGAATTGCTTGAGCCCAGGAGTTGGGGGCCACAGTGAGCTATGATGACACCACTGTGTTCCAGCCTAAGCAACACAGAGAAAAAGAATTTATTTAAGTCAGGTTTATAGCAGGAATCCAGACTGCCACATAGTGAAGGTTGTCCTTGTTATATAGAGTGGGGAGAGGTGTTGGTTACAAATAACAAAACCAGCTAACATAAACAAAAATGATGGCCAGGCATGTTGGCTCATGCCTATAGTTCCAGCTACTCAGGAGACTAAGGCGGGAAGACTGCTTGAGCCCAAGAGTTGGAGGCTGCAATGACCTATGATCTCGCCACTGTATTCTAGCCTGGGCAACAGAGCAAGATCCTGTTTTTTTTTGTTTGTTTTTTTTTTGAGACAGAGTCTCACTTTGTTGCCCAGGCTAGAGTGAGTGCCGTGGCGTCAGCCTGGCTCACAGCAACCTCAATCTCTGGGGCTCAGCGATCCTACTGCCTCAGCCTCCCGAGTAGCTGGGACTACAGGCATGCACCACCATGCCCGGCTAATTTTTTGTATATATATTTTTAGTTTGTCAATTAATTTATTTCTATTTTTGGTAGAGACGGGGTTTCGCTCAGGCTGGTTTCGAACTCCAGACCTTGAGCAATCCGCCCGCTTCGGCCTCCCAAAGTGCTAGGATTACAGGCATGAGCCACCATGCCCGGCCTCAAGATCCTGTTTTTTTAAAAAAAGGATTTATTGGCCGGGTGCAGTGTCTCGCACCTGTAACGGTAGCACTCTGGGAGGCTGAGGCAAGTGGATCGTTTGAGCTCAGGAGTTTGAAACCAGCTTGAGCAAGAGTGAGAACCCATCTCTACTAAAAAATAGAAAGATATTAGCTGGACAACTAAAAATATATAGAAAAATTAGCCGGGCATGGTGGCGCATGCCTGTGGTCCCAGCTACTCGGAGGCTGAGGCAGAAGGATTGCTTGAGCCCAGGAGTTGGAGGTTGCTCTGAGCAACCTAGCACTCTAGCCTGGGCAACAGAGTGAGACTCTGTCTCAAAAATAAATAAATAAAAAATAAAAAGGATTTATTGGAAAGCTGTGTGGGCACCTCATGGAGTCAAAGAAAAGGGTGAAGAACAAGCTGAGAAAACAACAGCAACCCAAACACTTCCAAGCATCTAGGTATCAAGAATTATCAGACAGTCTGTTTAGGTTTTGTGTTGAGATTCAAATTAAAGAGAAAGAGGCTGATAGTTCTGGTTTGGGTCAGGAATCTATCCTTGGCTTGGGGAAAGGAGGACCAACCAATACCATGTCTAATGCAAGAGGGGTCATTCTGCAAAGCAAGAACTAAACTGTATTGCAATTAGTAAGAAGGCTTTAAGCTTCCACTAGGTAGAGTGCTAATTTGTCCTGGTTTGCCTGGTTGGACATGGAAAGTTCCATGTTCTGGGAAACCCCATACTCTAAAAAACTTCGACTTCAGGCCCCCTCACCATTTGGTGGAGCTTTATAAATCTGAAAACTTCATCAAGAGTTTCTTAAAGCACCACTGCGTGCTGACATCATTCCGAAGTGTACTCAGGGCACAGTGACGTCTGCATTTCTGGTCAGTGAGAATTCAGCCCGCCTCTGGAAGCACAGTAATGGACCCTCAGGTAGACACTATCTCTTCCCTGGGGGGTGAGTCAGGGTCCTCTGTCAGAGCTGCTCCTTGGAAGACTGGTCGGTATGGTAACGTTCTGGGCTTTCCTCAATGTCTTCGTCCCTGGTTGGCTGTCAGCCTCCCAGGACCTAGCCTGGTCCCTGAGTCACTGCAGCAGCAGGTCAGTTCTCAGGCTCATCTGAGTTTTCAGAAGGCACCTGGCAGAAGGTTCTTACCTTGCTATGAGGGGAAAGCTTTCATCTAGAAACAGGTTTCAAACCTGAAACCTATAGCCAGGGGCCCAGGCTTCAACCCAAGAGAAGGTAATAGGATCAAACAGAAAATCCCCCCTCCGACCCTCATACTCCCAAACATTTTAATTTAACTTTGCAAATAGCACTCACATGGGCTGGACTCTTAAAGGTATCCTGGATCTCAAGTGCAAAAGTACATTGGGCACATCACAAATCCTGCCCCCCTGACAGTCTCTGCTTATGATGAAACAAAAGAGTGATTTGCAGAGAAATGTAAATCCAGGGGTGTGGACTGTTTGCCAACAGACCATCTCTGTAAAATAGGGCAATAATGGTGGCCACCTCAAACAGGGGAAGATAAGAGAATGCAGGGAGGGCGCTCAGCCCGGTGCCTGGCTGCAGCTGCAGTACTAGTGGTCGTGTGCTAGCCATGGAAGGAACCCCAGCTGCTGTTTCAATTTTTAAGACCTGGCTCCTCTAACCTGCCATACAATGAATCAGCCGCTCCCTTTTCCTGTACCTGTTTCCTTCCTTGGTTGAACCAGAGGGCAGTGTGGAGGCGCACCCTTCTGAGAGAGGTACCCTGGGAAGACAAGGCAAGGCTATGGCCATATGGAGCCGTATTTAAGCATTAGACTGCTGCAGAGGCTGGGCAGATTTCAGAAGATGTGGCCAAAGTCCTTGGCATTAGCTCTCCTGACTCATTTCTGTCAATGCAGTGTCGCTAGAGGGTCCCTTTGGATTGGGTGAGGAAGGGGCAGAGGAGATGAGGAAGGAAAGCATCTGGAAATGGGCACCCATTGAGTAGGGTGCAGTGGGACCTGCCAGTTAAGAAGGGTCTTGGGTCCCTTCAGTCTTCCTGCTCAGGGCCCTGCCTCTTGCCTCTTGTGCGAAACTCCAGAAAGTGACCCTGTGTCTTTCTGCTTGCCTCTTTCTTTCTATAACATCCTGCTCTAAGGGAACCGCCTTGTAAATTTTATATTGACATGTAAATGACTGCTGGGGCTTTATGCTAGCTCATTTTCATAAACGGAGAAGCTTTCAGTCAAAGAAACAAATACCTTTAAGTAAGTGAGGGAGGCAGAAGGCCCTCCCAGTGACTAAGAAAGCACACTGCCCACTCCATCCAGAAAACTACCCGTGTTCCATAGCCTGGCTGTGGCAGGAGTCCCTGGCCGTTTGGGTTTAGCGGAACTGGGCAACGTTTGAACCCTTCATCCTCCGCCTGAAGTAGGAAAGTGGGCAGGGACGTGGTGGGGGGAGGCCAGGGAAGTTGCATGGAGCAGAGGTACACAAAGTAGGGCTTACTCGCCCCAAGTGCACTCCTCAGGGAAGGCAGGGGTGTGGAGAGCAGGGCAGAGCTCTGTGTCTTCAAAGCATGACTCTTCACTTAACGCGAAGCAAGGGGCACTGGCCTTCTGGCTCTTTAGGGTACCCTCAGCCCCACCTCTGCCAGGCTCTCCTGCACCATGAGACATCCCAGGCCATAGCTGGTGTGTTTGAGAGGAGCTCGTCTCATGGAGAGGTGCGGCCAATTTCAATACTGTCTGGGACTCACCATCTGCCTCAAGGGCTAAGACCAAACTAGGCCTGCATCACATTATGCTACCCAAGTGTTGGGGGTAAGAGGGTGTATTCAGGTTATCAGAGCAGGTCCAAAAAAAGGACTGGCAGGGAGTGCCACCTGCCCTTCCCCAGGGCAGCCCCACCCAGCAGCCCTCTTGGTTCAAGAAGGTCCTGGCCCAGCAGCCCCTGGGAAAGGGGCTCCAAAACAAAAGAAACAGGCCAGGCACTGTAGCTCATGCCTGTAATCCCAGCATGCTATAGAAGGCCAAGGCAGGAGGATTTGATTAAGGCCAGGAGTTCAAGACCAGCCTGGACAACAGTGAGACCCCATCTCTACAAATAATAGAAAAATTAGCCAGGTGTGGTGACGTGCACCTGTAGTCCCAGCTACTCAGGAGGCTGAGGCAGGAGGATTACTTGAGCCCAGGAGGTTGAGGTTGCTAGGCCGATGCCACTGCACTCTAGTCAGGCAACAGAGACCAGTCTCAAAGAAAAAAGGCACACAAAACAGAAGAAACAGAGCCAGTCCTGGGACACAAACACCAGTATATCTTTATGTGCACGAATGTGAGAAGGAAGAGACAGAGAGACCAACGAAGACACAGAGCAGGCAATGGGTGCACAAACTGACCATGTGTCCTTCTCAGGAGCTGCCCAGCTGGGAGACAGTGCCACCTCTGCTTCAAAGGCCCTTTTGCAGAGTCAGGGCCTGCAGCTCCTCTAGGTCTGGGGTGGCCTCAGGGTAGAAGGCACTCTCGCTGCCATAGCGCGTCTAGGGCTGGGCCTCTGACCTGTCTTCACCCCCCAGTGACGATGTCTGCACAGCCCAGAGCTTCACAAATGCAGGTTATCATGAACTGACCCACTCAGCAGCTGCCCGCCTCCCCAGGAGACCCATTCAGAGCGAGGGACCAGAACAAAAGGGCTTCATGGGCACACCTTAGGTATTATTGCTGTGAATAAGCATAGGCCATTGTGACTCACTGGCATCAAAGAGGGGACAGGGGACGGGATGCCTAGCAGACATTGGAAGTGGTTCAACCATGCAGGGCAGCACTTTGCAACCAGTAACTCAGAGATGCTGCCATGTCCAGCAGAGAGAGGCCCAGGATACCAGGCGCAAGGACAGCCCACCAGCACCCCTACTGCTTAGCAGGGCTGGGATTACTCCAAACTTTTGAGTCCCTGGGCACTAAGGGATTGGGGGCCTGAAGATACCCGAAAAAGTGAAAGTTGAAGTCTGAGATGCCCCTGATGAGATCTGAACCTGCAGATCCTGTGGTCAGGCCACAGGTTGTTGCCACCCGTTGTTGGGGGCTCAGTGCCCTGTGAGGGGCAATAGGAGCAATGGGGCACTAGATGTAGCAGAAACGATGCTGCACGTGCCAGGCACACAGGCTCACCCCAGGACCTCCTGCACTTGGGAGCTTACAGGGCCCAGAGAGAAAATGGTACCAGGGAATGCCCACAAGGCAACGTCTGGAGCGGCAAAATCCGGTGGGCCACCCGAGGGGGCTTGCTCTGGCTGAGAATTATGTTTTTTTTGTTTTTTTGTTTGTTTTTTTTTTAATCTTCCTGGTCAATGTGGAAATGGCTGGCTGAGAATTATGGAGACCTTATGCTGGGAGACATCAACAAGCTGGCCACTGGATTCAGTTGTGGAAGGGGAGTGTGAAGGTGGACAGTGTGGCCTTGGGGTCCACACACCTAGATAATATGAAATTGAGGGAGGGGACCAAGGAAATTATGGCCCAGAGGGAACAGGAAAGCCAGACAATATTCTCCCTCTGGAATCCTCTCCACTCATAGAATGGGAGCAAACCACCCCCGCCAGGAGCCCGATTCCCTGTACCCCCCAACACCTGGGAACTGGGGCCATAATGAAACCAAAGGCAGGGCTGGTCCCTGCAGAATGTAGTTCACCCCTGGATTAGAGGGGCCTACCCAGGGAAAAGGTGGGGAATGCCCTCCATTCTTCCCTAGACAGGGCCAACTGCAGAAAAATCCTGCCAAAGGCAGAGTCTCCAAGTCTTTCTCCTGACCTAGGACGCCACTGCCACCCACCCCGGCCCCGGCCTGTGCCCCGGCAGAGCTATCTGCATGGGCTTGGTGGAACAGCCAGCAAGGAAGAGATCCTCTCCACAGATGGTATTGTCACTTTTTAATGACCTATAAAAAGGGAAAAGCTAATTTCTATCTAAGAATCCTAGTGTGGTCAAGAAGAGACCAGGTACCATGGGATGGGCCACTTTCCAATGGACGCCTCCCCTCAGAGTTGGGGGCAAAGCCAGAAGTGTGCTGGAGTGAAGATTCACCTGTCCACTGCCAGCAATGGACCTGTCATGGGGGCAAGAGGGGCAACCAAGATGACAAGGCCCAAGAGTGTGGCAGGGTTAATACTGCTTAAGGAGCAAGCTCAAAGAGCCAGCCTCGTTGGGAGGAGTCGGGGAGAGGGCAGCCCTGAGAAGGCTCTGCAACAGAGCGGGGGCTAGGGCAGAGCCAGAACTGACCCATTCCCACAAAGGATGCTCCAAGAGCCTTCCAAGGCTGCAGGGTCCTTTCTTCCTCACTCGATCTCCAAGGGTCTCAACGCAGTAGCTGCCTCCTCCATCCCCTAGAAATTAGACTGCCCAGTTGGCTAGGAAATAAACGAGTCAGAGCATAGATGACCTAGGACTCTGCCCCTCTCCACTTAGCTGTCTTACCTCTAGGCCCCCACTGTGGATCCACCGGGCCCCTCTCAGCTTGACTGGAGGGTGTTATTTGTTTTCAGCAGGGCCCACCGGACCAGAGGGGGTGGGGAGGCATATCTCTGGAGTGCCCCCGGCAACAGGCCAGCAGGAGCGGTGGACAAAAGGCTGCGGGACAGGTGGGGCCTGCCTGGCAGCTGCAGTGTCGGCCAGGGACTCAGGGACGGGGTGGGTGTGGTGGCCACCATGGACAAAGGGCCGCTAGTGGTAAAGGCCTTGAAAACAAGAGAAAAGGGGAAACGCCACCGAACGCAGGGGGATTGAAACCTCCAAAAGCCCAAGGTTGGTGGGAATCCAGCACCACAGGGGCCCCCAAAAGGCCAAGGGAGCAGCGTGGGGAGGAGCCACGGGACGGTCTCCCAGCCCTTGCAGACCAGCCCTGCTGCCAAGCAGCCTCCCTGCTGCCCAGTCTCGCTCAGGCTGCAGCTCAGAGGCCCCAGGGAGGTATTGGTTGCAAGCAAGCACCTGAATATTGCCTAATGGAACCAGCCAAAGCCCAGCTAAATCCCGGTGAGCGGGAGGAAGGTCAGGCCTGGCCTCCCGCCCATGGCCCCATGCTCAACGTCCCTTAGCCAGGACAGGGCCTGCTGCTTCCACAGTCGACCGTGTAGTCCAGTCAGCCACAGGCCTCCTGCCGCCAGCCTCCGAGCTGGGCCAAGATCTATCACTCTTCCCAATGTCCTTCTGCTGCCTTGACATCCTCCCCCAACACCTGGCCACCACCCCCAGCACCAGCCCACTCTGGAGGGCGTGGGGCTGTGGGTGCCCCACACAGCTGAGGCAGGCCCAGGCCGGGCTTGTGCTGCACAGGAGGGGCAGCCCCACCAGCTTGGTCTCTTTGTCCATGAGTTCCACGAGAGAGCCCCAGGCCCCCCGCCAGCCTCCCTACTCAGTCGGTCTTGACGTGGCCGTTGGCCAGGGCCAGGGGGCCGCTGGGCTCCCCCGGCTCTGCGTCCTTGTCGAAGCGGAGGCGGAGGGTGTTGCGGATGATGAACTGCTCCATGATGAGGGCCCCGCAGAACCAGGGCACGGCGTACTCCAGGGTGATGAGGCCCATGAAGTCAAAGTCGAACTGGGAGTAGTCCCAGGGGCAGGCGTTGAACTGGCGCAGGATGAAGCCAGTGGTGAACTCCCACAGGTAGGTCCAGAGCGTGTAGATGAGGCAGCGCAGCAGCAGCGGGCAGCGGCCCCGCAGGCGCAGGTACATGCGCTCCACGATGAGGATGGAGGTGCCGTAGATGAAGAGGGCCCACACGCTCGTGACCCCCGGGAACTTCCAGTTCAAGTTCACCACGAACTCCCAGGCCGCCGTGAACATCACCTCGCAGAAGTAGCCGTGGATGGCGTACAGGTACCAGCGGGACAGCGCCGTCAAGGGCTCGGCAGAAGCCATGGTGCAGACTGGGGCTGGCTGCCGGGGACACAGAGACACGGGTGAGGGGAGAGCCACCGCTGCTGCCACCCCCCGCAGCCCACGCCTCGGGTGTGACCGGCTGGCGGGGATTTCAAACCTGCCTCTACTTTCTCCGTCCCCTAGGGAGGTGTCTGCTACACTCTCTCTGACTTCTTTGGATTATCTGTGGTCAACTGCGGCGTTGGCTGTCTTGCGCCATCAGTCACCTCCATGTCTAGGCTGCCGGCAGATTTCTCACCAGGCCCATCCACTGGGGACCCCATGTCTTCCCTCATTTCTGCTCCAACAATTCCATGTCACTCACATTTCTGAGATCTTTCTACATAACCTATCACATTTGCATTCCTGTGTGCATGCATTTTAACCATTTTAAGTGTACCAATCCAGTGGTATTAACTATATTCACAATTTTGTGTAACCATCACCACCATCCATTTCTAGAAGGTTATCATCATCCCAAACTAAAACTCTGTACCCATTAAACACCAACTCCCCATGCTCCCACCCTTAACCCCTGGCAACCACCATTCCACTTTCTCTAAGAATTTCACTACTCTAACTGCCTCACACAAGTGGAATCATACAAATACTATCCTTTCGTGACTGGCTTACTTCACTTAGCATAATGCCTTTAAGGTTCATCCATGTTGTAGCGTGTCAGAATTTCCTTCCTTCTTGACGCTGAATCGTATTCCATGTACAGATCACATTTGTTTATCCACTCATCTGCTGATGGACACCTGGGTTGCTTCCACCTTTTGGCTACTGTGAACAAGGCTACTATGAACACAGGTATACCAATGCTTTCAATTCTTTTGGGTACAAACCCGGAAATGGATATGCTGGATCATACGGTAATTCCACAGTTAACTTTTTGAGGAGCCACCATGCTGTTTTCCACAGCGGTGGCACCATTTTACATTCCCATCAGCAATGTACAAAGGGTTCCAATTTCCCCACATCCTTGCCAACACTTGTGATTTTCTGTTTGTTTTATAATAGCCACCCTAATGGGTATGAAGTGGTATCTCATTGTGGTCACATTTGTCTCTGTCACATTAAATGGGGTTTTGGTGTTTAGTTTCAGTGTTGAGGAGAAACCAATGAATTGGCAAAAGAAAGAGTCCTCCCTTCTCTTTATGTCCTGCCCACCCTCAAACCCTGCCAGTCTTCACAGCCCGGCTCCCATCCTGCTTCCCCGAAGACCAGGCTGACCCACAGGCATCTCTATGTCTTTCTCGCCTTCTACCAGTGACTGCGTGGACCACTCGTTTGGCCCATTATCAAATGGCACCCTACTAACTTTTGATCCAACTAGCCCATGTGAACTCCTGAGGGCAGCAACTATTGTGCAGCCCTGTGTTTTGCACCTTTGGCAAGGGCCTCTTCTGAGCAGGCCCTCTGTAAATGACATACCCTATTTACGTGCAGGGTGGCGTGGGAGAGCTCCGGGCGGCATCAAGAATGGGAAGGCAGGGGACACCCAGCTTGACATCTCTGCCAATGCCCTCTTCAAGGTGGGAGAAGAGACAGAGGTTAAGGAGACGACATCTGCAGGACACCTGCCTGCCTGGGCACCCAGCCTCATTTTTCAGTTAAAGCAGGCCTGGTTACTGTACCTGCCCCCCACTATGCATTGCCTGGTGTCTTCCATTCACATTTTGTCCTTGGTTCTTATATAATTACGACTCATATGCAGGTCAGATAGTTTTACTTCTATTTTTTTTTAGATGACACAATTGGGGCTCAGAGAGGGGACATCATTTGCCTCATATTCCGGGGCCAGTAAATGGAAGAGCTGAGACTAGGACCAGTATCTCTTGTTTTCTACTTCAAAACTCATCCCACCGCATACTGCGACCCTTCTCCTGGACATGTGTGCCTAATGTCACTCCCCTGCTCAAGAACATCCACCAGCTCCCCATTTCCTAAGAAAACACTACAACGTCCCTGGCCTGGCATTCAAGGCTGTTCATGACCTTGCCCCAAATCTATTTTTCCAGCCTTATTCTCTCTCACAATCCTGCTCTCCTTGGCTTACCCCCATGCCTTTGCAGGTCCTATTCTTGCTGTTTGGTGTGCCTTTGTCCTCTTACTTCCACAGGTACAAACCCAGCTTACAGGCTACTTTTGGAACAAAATCTTTCGTCCCCTCAGCCCCAAGTCCTCTCTTCCTCCTCTGAATTTTCATAGCACTTACTCTGCCTCTTCCTCTTCAGCACAGATTTTCTGTTGAATTGCGTAGAGAACTTTCAGTCCCCAGCCAAACCTCTTTCCTGTGTTCTGCACCTATATATTAAATATCTTGCTCCTTCCTAAACACTTCCACCTAAATGTCCTATAGGTACCCCAAACTCCTTTCCTAAATCAAACTCATTGTCTTTTCCCCAAAACCTATATCCCTCCTAGGACCCCATCCTGATTAATGGCACCACCGTACACCCAGTTAGAAGCTGGAGGTAAGCTGGGCACACAGTGGCACTCGTGTAGTCCAAACTATTTGGAAGGCCAGGGTGGGAGGAAAGCTTGAGTCCAGGAGTTGGAGGCTGCAGTGAGATATGAACACACCACGGCATTCCAGCCTGGGCAACAGAGCAAGACCCTGTCTCTATAAAACTCACAAAGAAACAAAGAAAAAAGCAGCAGCAGCAGCAGCCAGAGGCTCTGGAGTCACTTAGCTCCCTCTGTCACATGCCCACTCTGAAGTGAGTGAGAGTAGGGGCCTTGTCTGTCTGGTCCGGCACTGTATCCCCAACACAAGCATATAAGCCTTCCCCACACACACAGTAAGCAGTCCATACAAGAATGAAGACGCTTCTTAGGCCGTTAGCAATTGCCACGTAACAAATCATCCCCAAACTCTGTGGCCTCAATCACCTGTCATGTACTATTATTACAGCTCGCATATCTGTGGGTTGGTGCATCTTGGCCGGCCTTGACCATGAGACTGTGAGTCATCTGGGGCTCCTGGCTAGGGCAGTGCAGCTGAGGTGGCTCTGCTCGCCTGTCTCTCGTCCTCCTCCTGGGCTCAGACTTGCCGGGCATGCTCTCGTCACATCCAGGGCAGAGGCCGAGGTGAGCCTGCCCGGCTGCACAAGTGCGGCTCAGGGCTCCGGTTAAGGCATGCCCACAAACTTCCCATGTGCCAAGGCAAGTCACTTGGCAAAGCCACCAGGTCAGCCGCTAAGTCCTGCCCTTTCTACCTCTTAAATGTCTTTGGAATCCATCTCCTCCTTCTCCATTCCTCTCTTCTCATTGCTGCTCTTCTGGTTCAAGCCCTCATCATGTCTCACATGGACGACTTCTCAACAACTGTCTCCCAGCTTTGCCTTGTTCCCTCCCAATTCACTGATATAAAAGGGTCTGTATGTAGAGAGCAATCTTTCTAAAACGCAAATGTGATGTTTCTCTCTTACAGCCCATTAGTGGATCTTCAGCATCTACAGAGTAAAGCTCAAACCCCTAGGGAGGGCTGGCAAAGCCCTTCACAAGCACTCTCTGCCTCAGATCCTGTCCTCCAGATCTCTACACTGCAGTTTGTGCCACCTGGGACGCCCTTCCCACCTGTGACCTTTCTTCCCCCCACGCCTGTAAGGCCATACTCCTGTTTCAAAACCCAGCTCCTCCTCCATGAGGACTCTCCTAAACACCCCACCTCCAGAGCTGTCTGCCCACCTCCATGCCCTCGCTTGTCTGTGGTCCCAGTTAGCACTCTGCCCTGCTACGACTCATCCAAAGGCCAGCACTAGTAGCCAACAAGTAAGAATGTTTAATACAATATTGAGAAAAAAGATTCAAAATCGAATATTTATTTAACATGACTGTGATTTTGCAAAGGCATACATACATGTAAATAGACAAAAAACTTAGCAACAATCATCTCTGGATGGTGATATCATGTGACTTTTTTTCCTGTATATTCTAAAAGTTTTTCCTAATAAGCATGTATAACTTTTATAAAAATAAAATTTTATCTTAAAAATGCTTGTTGAGCCCAGGACTTGAAAGTTAAAGTAAGCTATGGTTGTGCCATTGCACTCCAGTCTGGGAGACAGTGCAAGACCCTGTCGCTATTTAAAAAAAAAAAAAGGTCTTTGTATCTGTGTAACTGAAAAAAAAAAAAAAATGCTTGTTGAATGAATAGGTATTAATTCTCTTGGTACCTTGTATTTAGAAGATGTCCAGTAAATTTGCCAAACCAGTGAACCTAAGGAAACCTGAATTCATGTAGAGTTAATGCAGGTTTTTCCCTCCTGAGCCAACCTAACAATAAACCATGACTCACAGTTTAAACATGTTGAGTTGGTTGAGCTCAGGGGCTCCGGATCCTAACTGCCTGGGTTGCAATCCTGGCCGATGCTCCTGCCTGTGGGATCTAAGGCTTGGTACCCCTGACTGCTCCGTGCCTCTCTCTCCTTATAGGTAAAGTGAGGATAATAAAAGTAACTACCACAGAAGGTTATTGTGAGGATGAATGAGCTAAATGACCTAATATATACACACTACCTAGAATACACCAAATGCTCCAGAAAGGATAACTGTCATTTCTGACACAGAGCCAGACTTCTGGACAGTCCCTCCTGCTTTGAGCACACCTCCTACCTGAGGAAAGGTCACTCTGCCCCAGCCCTTGCCAGCCTCCAGGCAGCCTTGCCTGTCTGGCAGGTTAGGTCTTCACCTCTACCCTGAGCACCAAGCCAGGGAGCCAAGAATGCCTACGAGGACAATAATCCCACATATAGCCCCAAGAGAACAAAACTCCCACATACAGCCTAGGAGAGTAACTGTGAGCTGCCAGTGTCCCTGTGGCTACACAGGGATTACTTAAAGGGGAAGGAGCTCAGAACCAGCACTGAGGGTCAGGCCTGAAAAGAGGTGGAATGAGGCTGGGCAGGATGGGTCTGTAATCCTAGCATTCTGGAAGGCCGAGCGGGAAGATTGCTTGAGGTCAGGAGTTCAACACCAGCCTCAGCAAAACCCTGTGTGTACTAAAAATAGAAAAAATTAGCCGGGCATGGTGGTGCATGCCTGTAGTCTCAGCTACTTGGGAGGCTGAGGCAGGAGGATTGCTTGAGCCCACGAGTTTGAGGTTGCTGTGAGCTAGGCTGACACCACAGCACTCTAACCTGGGTGACAGAGTGAAACTGTCTCAAAAAAAAAGGAAAGAAGAAAGAAAGAAAGAAGAAGAAAGAAGAAAGAAGAAAGAAGAAAGAAAGAAAGAAGAAAAGAAAGAGAGAGAAGAAGAGAAGAAGAAGAAGAAGAAGAAGAAGAAGAGAGAAGAAGAAGAAAGAAGAAGAAGAAAAAGGAAGAAGGAAGAGGAAGGAAGGAAGGAAGGAAGGAAGGAAGGAAGGAAGGAAGGAAGGAAGGAAAGAAAGAAAGAGAGAGAGAGAATGGAATGAAAGGGGCACAGCCTCTTACACCCTCATTTTATCCTATATTGCCCCCCATCTTAGGTGAGGGGAGAACAGACTTAGGCTCCAGGACAATACCAAGGAGGGGCTGTGGCCCTGGGGCAGGGCAGCATGGGCACAGGGATCTGGAGACCACTCAGCTTCCCAGCTGACTCAGGCCCCTCTGAATTTAGGTCTGCCCACCTGGCCTGCACACACACCCCTGGCTCTCCCAGCCCCCAGGACCTAGGCTGGGGGAAGGGGCTCCCCGCTCGTAGTTACACTCCTACATCTTGACATGACTGCATGGATCTCATTACTTGGGCCAGCCCCCGCCTTGACGCTAACTTTAAACCTGCTCTTCTAGCCTCTGATCTCTTCTTCCCGGGACGGCCAAAAATGGTTTCCCAACCAGTAACTAATCAGATGTTCCAGGCTCTCCCCCTACCCTACCCCATCAGGTAACTTGGCACAGCTGGACCCCAAAACCCTACAGCAGCAGATGAAAGGGGTAACTGTCAAGGGAGAGAAGAACCTTGGGTGAAAGAGGGCTGGGATGGCAGCTCACAGTGCGGTGGGAAATACTGGGATTAGAGGCAGGGAATTGGCATGGGTACTTGTTCAGAACACCACTCCCCAACCCATTTCAAATAATCACAGGAGCCATGCTTAAACTTTGAGCTAGGACAGGCTCACCAACCCTCTGCTGGGCACAACAGGCCCCCCCTCACTCCTCCACCTGACCTGCCATGGCCCAGGCCCCTTCCAGTACCTTCTCGCTCAGCTGTGGGACAAAGAGCCTGGGCAAAGCCTGCAGCAGGAAGAACCAACAGCTCTGCGGACAGTGCCTCTTTCTCCCCTGATAAATACAACCATTCTGAGTAATGTGACACAGGACAGCCCAGGGACAAAAATTTAAAGTGGAGTAAAGAGGAGGAGGGCATAAGCAAGAGTGAAAGCTGGGGAAAGAGTTTCAAGATTAGTGGATGGTTTCGTAAGCGGGATTTGAGAGAAAAACACATAAGAGCCCTCATGCTTGATGAAAGGGCCTGGGGCCATGCAGTCCCAGCACAGGCCAGGACTCAAGGTGACTTGTCAGGGCAGGGAACTGCCCCTCCAA